TATGCCACAATAGGATAGCAATAGCAAGTAGTCAGTTTAGCTTCGGATGCTATGCTAACATCACCCATTTTATACCAGAGAAACTTTCATAACAGCGTTGTGATACCAAACAGCGTCAATTCAGACTGACACACATTCACTTAGGCTAAGGGGAACTGGGGATATGTATCAGCTGCTTGTGTGAGTCGGACAGTGAATAATTTAGAGCGGCCGCTGCAGTGTGAGCTAACCGGGAGCTAACGGAGGAGAATAAACTCCCGTGGAAGAGCAGCCAACACTGCAGTGGTCGGTAAATGCCACAGAAACACAATAATAAACAATGAACCACGGCACTCTGGAGCAAAGTATAAGGTTGGAGAAGTCGTTATTCAATTTATTCTGGCTTCGTGTGATTAAAAGCAACACGATCATCGACCCGACGCAGTTCCCCGTTGTTGTGAGCGCCGTAATGCCGTTGGGGAGCAAATCAGCGATGTAAACGGCGACGTCATGACGCAGCAGCGGCAGCACCAGTCGGGCTCTGGGCGGTGTGAACAGAGCAGGAGCAGAAAAGGGAAACCGGATCTGAACCAGAAAAGCTCTGGGAAGAGCGGATGTTGTGCTGTATGCACGGAGTGGGGCTGAAAAAGACCATTTTGACGGGCCTCACGGGAGAAATAACGGAGGCCGCGCGAGCCCTGGATACTAAGCTGAACGCCGACGCATACTAAGAAATAGCACCACTCCTAGACAACACAAGCTTGGGGCTGATATTCCGGGACACAAAGGACAAAGGCCGAGAGAGTCTAAAAGTGTTAAGAGAACACTACATCGACAGAGGTAGGCCCCGGATTGTATCCCTGTATATAACATTGACCGCGCTGAAGAAAGCTAACACAGAGACTGTGACTGAATACGTCATCAGGGCGGAACAGATCATCACGGCGCTCAAAAGTGCAGGAGACGCACCGAGCGATGGACTAATGATGGTGATGGTTATGAGGGGACTACCGGAGATTTATAAACCGTTCACACTGTTGGTGACGCACGGTTCAGCGGACATGTCGCTGGGGGAGTTCAAGGCCAAGTTCCGGAACTTCGAGGCCTCAGAAGACTCAGACCCGGTCGCCTAGGAGGCGGGAGAAAGGGTAATGAAGGCCCGGGCAGCGCCAAAGAAAAAGACCGGACCCCCGACAGAGATGGCGTATTGGCGATGTGGAGAAAAGGGTCACCGAAAGGATAATTACACAAAAACTGTTTGGTGTAGTTTCTGTAAAACTTCGGGACACGCAGACAGAGTGTGTAGAAAGAAGCGCGAACAGAGCGCTCGGTACGCGCGCGTGCAAGATGGCGGCTGTGGACAAGTTGGCGGCAGCGGTGGAAGTGAGGCGAGTCGAGACGACGCCCGGAGAGCAGCGGGAAGAGAGGACTTCACCTTCGGGGCGCAGACAGCATACGCCAGCCGGTCGCAGCAGGCCCAAAGGAAGGGACTGATCGTGGACACAGGTGCGTCGTCCCACATTATCAACGACAGGAACCGATTCAAGAACTTTGACAGCACCTTCGAGCCGGAGAGACACATCATGGAGCTGGCAGACGGGAAGCACACTTTCGGGTTGGCGCACGGGAGAGGAGACGCACAGGTATGCCTCATAGACAGTGACGGGCGCCGGTGTATAGTGACGTTGAAGAACGCCCTCTACATAGCCTCGTTCCCCCAAGAACTATTTTCTGTCAAATCTGCTACTGCAAATGGTGCCAAGGTGTTCTTCAATGAAGGTAACGATGTTCTTGTGGAGCCTGACGGTACGAGATTTAACATTGAGGTGTACAAGAGAATGTATTATCTACAAACAGAATGTAATGAAAATGATGTGTGTAATGTCAGTCATGATATTCAGACATGGCATGAGATCATGGGTCATTGTAATTACGAGGATATACTGAAGCTGCAGGCGGTAACAGTAGGCATGCACATTAACGGTGAAAAGCATAGACCTAACAAAGAATGTGATGTGTGTATAAAGGGAAAGTTCACTCAAACAAGGAACAGAGGTCCCACAGAAAAAGTAAAGACACCACTTGAGCTAGTTAACACAGAACTAGCCGGTCCAGTAAATAATGAGTCCATAGGTGGCTTTAAATATATGCAGTCTTTCACAGATGTGTATACAGGGGCAGTGTTTGTTTACTTTCTCAAAGCAAAGAGTGACGCACTTCAGGTCACAGAGAAATTCCTTGCAGATGTAGCTCCGTATGGCAGCGTAAAATGCCTGAGGTCCGACAACGGAACAGAGTTTACAAAGAGAGTTTCAGTCACTGCTGAGAAGGAGCAAGATCAGACACGAGACGTCCTGTCCTTACTCCCCGCACCAGAACGGGATAGCTGAGAGGGAAGGGCGCACTCTTTTCGAAATGGCTAGGTGTAAGCTAATAGACGGTAACTTACCTAAGAGTCTATGGCATTATGCAGTCCAAGAAGCAGCTTACACCAGAAATCGGTGTTTTAACAAGCACACGGGCACCACCCCATATACAGCACTGACAGGAAAAAGGTGTGATCTAGCCAGGATGCACAAGTTTGGGTCAGTGTGTTATGCTTACCAACAGGACAGAGGAAAACTCGAGTCCAGGTGTGAGAAAGGACTTTTTGTAGGGCATGACAAGGGCAGCCCCGCTTTTCTAGTCTATTATCCCGGTAAGTAAAGTTTGTCACAAAGACAACATGTGAGAACGAGACACAGGAGCCAGAGCTGGACTCCAGAATAGGGTGTGAGAAAAGAGAGACGCCACAGCCTAGTGTACTGAGCACAGACATGCAGACAGACGGTCAACAGCCACCGGAGGATGATGGCGAGAAGCACCCTAGGGTGACGTCACGTGCCTCATGCAGTGGGAGATATCCCTCCCGGGAACATAAACCCCCAAAGTATCTGAAAGACTATGCCCAGAGAGAAAGTGACGAGGATGACAGTACACTTACCAGCATAGATTACTGCTACAGAGTAGTGAGTGGTGTACCTCAGACCTTTAAAGAGGCCATGATATCCCCTGAGTCAGGAAAATGGGAGAGAGCGATGGATGAGGAGATGAGGTCTCTGGAGGACAATCATACTTTTACTCTAACAAAGTTACCCGAGGGTAGACAGACAGTGGGAGGCAAGTGGGTGTACTCAATCAAGGAGGGTATTGAAGGGCACGACAGGTACAAGGCCAGGTTTGTAGCTAAAGGCTACAGTAATGGCGCATTTCCACTGCAACGGGGTAGCCCCGTTTAAGCGTCCCTAAGCGTCCTCGCTCAGGCCTCGGGCTGCCTCGCTGGCCGGCCCAGGCCGTGGCGCATTTCCATTACAGTTTAGGACCTGGGGTAGCAACGCAGTGTAGGCGGGGCGATTGGCTTTGTTTTTGTTCACATTTCGAGTTCTTCGGTCGAGCTCCCGCTGGATTTGATCATCCCCAATGAGATGTAGGAACGTCGTCACCTCCTCGGTCGACCACGGTGTGCTTTTCTTATTAGACGTAGCCATTTTTGTAGCTCATCCGTTTACAAAATGCTGTTTATAAAAATGCTGCAAGCTTGCTTCTAAATATATATGCGACGCTAGGGATGAAGTCGCGCGCGATCTTGTGACGATTCTCTCTGACCAATCAGCAGTCGAGAGTGTTGACGTCACTAGTTCAGCCCTGGCCCTGGCCTGATAGAACCACGATTTTATGGGGCCGGAAAAAGAGGGAAAAAGTACCCGCTAGCCGGTACTAGGCTATATGGAAAGGCCAACAAAAACTGGCCTGGCCGCTTGAGGACGGTTAAGGACGCTTAAACGGGGCTACCCGCTGCAGTGGAAATGTGCCATTAGAAGGAAGGAATAGACTACAGTGAGACATTCTCCCCTACAGCTAATCTGACCAGTGTACGGGTAGTTATGCAGAAGGCAGCCGAAGACGACTTGATTTTACACCAGATGGATGTGAAGACAGCCTACCTGCACGCACCCATTGATAGGGACATATATATGGAACAACCTGAAGGTTACGAGAAGAAAGGAGAGAAGCTAGTGTGCAAGCTAGAAAAATCCATTTACGGCCTGAAACAGTCTGGGCGAAATTGGAACGAGATGCTATGACCAAGCCTGTCTCCAAACTGAAATAGAAAAAATGTTCGGTGTGTAAAATATTGCCTATTATGTAATATTGACTGCCTTGTTCTTTTGATGTTTTGAACTGTTATTTTTTTTGGAAAAGTTGTACAGTATACATGTCATTCATAAGTGGGAGTGTTAAGTGTAAGTATTAATATGTCTGCATGTAACTGCACTATAACTGTTCCACAGTAAGAGGGCACTATAGGCGTAAGGAGGCGCAGCTATTGTAACTGACGTCAGGTATCAGATATAAGGGATTGTTCCCTCCCCTTCTATCTCTCTCTCTCTAGCTCTCATGGAGAGCAGGTCAAGTGGTGCACTGCACATATGAAAATAAACCACGCCAGTTAAGGCTAAAGAAGACCTCGTCGTCATGACCAGTTTATTGCTATACATGTGACTGTCAACATGCACAATGTTGATTATTCTCTCAGAACCAGCTAAATACTTGGGTCTGGGTACAGATCCTCGGAATTGGTTTGGAATCCGTTGTGTCAACTCATGGCTCGTGACACGTCTTGTGAATTCTCCGGCCGAAACTTCAAATAAACCGTCAGCCATCAAAGCTCCTGCTCTCCCCGTGTCTCTCTGGAGTCCTGTTTCCAATTACTTCAGAAGTTCTCTAAACTGGGTAACAGGGGCGCTGCACCCTCTTACTCTCAGCATGCACCCTCATACCAAAATGCAGATTTCCCCCATAAAATGTTAAAGTGATGCCAGAAAAACAATATTTATGTTCATCAAGAAACGGTATAATTACTCCAGAAATATGAACATGGTGTCAAATAGAGCGTCAGGCGGCAGAGACAGCTATTAAGAGTCTAACGAGTTAATACAGAGTCTAAAGAGTGAGAGAGAGTGAATAAAGAGGGAACAGACCTGCTCTGTGGATCTGAAGCTGAGGCTGTAAAACAGCGTCCAGTAGTTTCCGGTGTCTCTCGTTCTCCTGTTTTGAACGAGACAGTTCCTCCTCGTACTCTGATATCGTTCTTTCAAACAGAACAAAGATGTCTTCAGCAGCCGCAGTGAGTCGCTGCTTCACCAACGAGAGCAGGACAACACTCATGTTTACTAAATCACCACTTCCTGTTTCTCTCACTCTGTGTTGCTAGCGTGTTACCAGCTAGCATGATAAGCTAGCTTCTAGAGTCCGAGCTAAAGGTTTCAGAAGAAAGAGCACAAAGTCAGAGGTTCATCCAGACACACAGACGATGGACGGATCAGCTGTGCACACACACTTCCTCAGGAACACCGAGAGAGAACCATGGATGTAGCGAGAGAACCGAGAGAACCCACGAGACGTGATCTGGTTCCATTAGAAAGAGCGAGACCATCACTTCCGGTGCATTACTTCTTCTTCGTCTCTCGATTTAAAGGCGGATTGCAAACAACTTTAAGGTGCATACCGCCACCTAGTGTACAGAGTGTGTATCACCATTATCATCCTATCACCACTTGTGGAATTATACCAGCGGAGGCTGTGGCGCAGTAGATTATTAGAGCGTTGGTGTTCGGATCAGGGGAGCACAGGTTCAAATCCCACTGCAACAATGACACACTGGTTAGGGTGCTGACGCATGTCATTGTGTCCCTGAGACACTTCACCCCAAATTGCTCCTGTGGGGATTGCCTGCAGTATTGAGTATGTAAGTCACTTTGGATAAAAGCGTCTAACAAGTAACATGTAATGTAATGTATAATACCACTGTATTTACGTTGTTTTAAATTCTTCCAATCAATCCTGTTTCACTCAAATACTTAAGAATGGCCTTCCTGGTAGCTCTTACCCCCTCACCGTCTGTCCCCAGTGTCCCCATCAGGCTCCACTCTCTATCCTGCCTCTCTGACCCTGTCTCTTAGTTTTTCCCTCTCTGTTTTGTACATGTTGCAGTGTAATATGATGTGTTCCACATTTTCTTTCACTCCACGGAGGAGATGTCGGAGAGAACGCGCTCCGAGGTGTGGTTAAACTTTACTCGTCTCGATGCTCGTGGACTAAAGTGCAATAAGAGTTTAGCATGTAAGGGCAGTAACACAAGCAATTTGTCGAAACATTTAGCAAAAGTGCTCCACATTCAGACGGAGAAATGCACCATTTTCGACTGTCTTCCTAGTAGCTCTGTAGCCCCATCTACGAGTAACTTTTCCACGTCAGGTATTATGTATAATAGCAGAAACACACGGAGTTAACTCAATTAGGAGGACTGTCTGAGGACCACAAATGGAAATGAGCTATTAGCTATAATCTGGCATATTGCATCTCTTCTCTTTGCTGAGATTAATGTTTTTATATGCATGTTTTTTTTTTTAAATTAAAAAAATTATACAAACATAGGTTAATGATTTGAGGTAACAGAGTTATTTATTTTGTTAAAGTTTCAGCTATTCTGTGTAAGAGTTGGTGAGGACCTGATAATTTATTCCTGCAAATTACTCAGACCTACTAATTGACCTAACTGAAGTTATTGAGTCTATGTAAGTTTACTGCTTGGCTCAGATCCACCAACGTCAGCAAGATCTCACCTCTATTAACTCCCTGAAGAACCAGGTTCAATTAACTGCTGTTTCAATTCAGACGACCCTCTTAATCGATTTAAGCAATCCCGAAGGATTTTGATATCAGTAAATGAGGTGTGGCCCTACCTAGGTGTGAGTGTGGCAGTGTGCAATCTTACCTTTGAAGCAGGAGAGGAGAGCGCAGATGTATTTAAATTGTCCCAATCCAAAAGGTGGGATCAGTTTATTTGAAGAAAAATAGGACCTTTTTGGGGCCTCAATGTATTTCTCCCCCTCCCTGTGTACTGCTGTGAGAGGAGAGGGAAGAAACTGCCTTCCCTTATCAGTGACACCCATAAACCATTATAGGCCTTACACTCAACTTAACAAACCACTTTGTTTTGTTTATACTGTAAATATAGTAAATCATAAAATATGAAGCATTTTCATTGTGGGTTATACAAGAATATAATTGATTATATTTGATTATAACTAACTGTTGTTTTAAGTATTCAACCTAATATGAAGATCTCAACACCCTCTTTTTAAAACGCAAAGTTATCTAAACAGCAACAGATACAATTGTAAACATACATACATATTCAAAAACCATCAAAAATCATTTTCATTATGGGTTTATACAAGAATATGATTGATCATATTTGATTTATAATTAACTTTCATTTTAAGTATTCACTTCATATGGAGATCTCAACATCTGTTTACAGTTCTGTCATCAGATTATTTAATACGATTTGTTAAAACGTTGTTGTTTCTTTTGATGTGAAATGTTATGTATTTAATTTAAATAAAAACCAATGTTAGTTTTGTTCACAACTTGTTTAGTTAGTTTACCTTATTTTTTTCTCCAAAAGAACCGATAAAAGTACCGTTAAAAGACCGGACCGATAAGCGGTATCGATAAAAGTAGTAGTACCGTTAAAACCTTAACGATACCCATCCCTACATGTGTGTGGGGTAGGGTTGCAAAATTCCGGGAATTTTCAAAGATGGAAAACTTTCCATGGGAATTAACAGGAATTTATGGGAATTTTCAAAATTGAAGGTTGGCTCTTCATAGGGAACTTCAATATAGTTGGGGAAAGTATATTTTAGCATAATCTTGACTAAAACAAACATATCCGCCGCATTCGACACAGTCTCCCACACTATCCTACTTAACCGCCTATCCGTCTACCTTGGCCTCTCTGGTACAGCCCTCTCCTGGTTCCATTCCTACCTCTCCAACAGGCAACAGTTTGTGACCATCGGAAAATACAGCTCTGCCCCAGCCCCTGTCAACCAAGGTGTGCCGCAAGGTTCGGTGCTCGGCCCTCTTCTATTCAACATCTACATGCTCCCCTTCGGTGAAATCATCCGCCGACATGGTCTCAACTTCCACTCCTATGCCGACGACACCCAACTCTACATCAGTACCAATCCATCATCCCAGCTACCCCCACTGTCACTTGTCAACTGCCTCTGCGACATCCAAGCCTGGATGTCAAAAACAAAATCTACTTAAACTCAACAATAACAAAACAGAGCTCATGGTTGTGGCCCCAAAAACACTGCTCCGGAAGGTTGGAGATCTGTTCCTCACCATCGATGGCGGCTCCATCCACCCTTCCCCTGAGGTTCGCGGCCTGGACTCACTCTAGCCTCACCTTCAACTCCCACATACTGTCAAAACCGCTTTCTTTCACCTACGAAACATCTCCAGACTCCGGCCCTCTCTCCCCGACCCCGTTGCAGAAACATTAATTCATACCTTCATCTCTTCTCGTCTGGACTACTGCAATGGAGTTCTGTTCGGGGTCACCAGCAAAGCCCTGGACAGGCTCCAGTACGTCCAGAACTCTGCAGCCAGGCTCCTCACCCACACTAAGCCCTGGCAACACATCACCCCTACCCTCTTCTACCTTCACTGGCTCCCGGTCAAGTCACGCATCCAGTACAAACTCCTCCTGCTAACTTACAAATATCTCCACTCCCTAGCCCCTCCATACATCTCTGACCTCCTTCAGCCCTACACCCCCTCTCGTCACCTGCGGTCCTCTCACAAAGGGCTGCTCTCCATCCAGCGCTCCAAGCTGAAAACATTTGGCAACAGAGCCTTCAGTGTCGCAGCCCCCACCCTCTGGAATTCTCTCCCCTCTGCAATCAGGAATGCAGACACTCTGGACACCTTCAAAAAACACCTCAAACACCATCTGTTCACTCAGGCCTTTGGCCTCAACTAATATACAGTACTCAGCAACCTGTTCCTGTTTTGTTTTCTTCAGCCTATGTATCTGTATGATTATTATTACTTTGTGTTGTGTTAGTTCCCATTGTAAAGCGTCCTTGGGTTTCGTGAAAGGCGCTATATAAATTGAAATTACTATTATTATATGCCATTCAAGTACACTTGAATATCCATGCCATAGCACACTGCTTACTGCATGGCTATTGAGACCACACGAAGGTTCGCAACAGGCTCACACATGTGAGAGTGGAAAAACTGGTTGGCATTCGGGCAAACCTAAGGCTCTTTGAGCCGGACACAGAGCCATCCTCAACAAGGCTGGACAGTGACACTGAAGAGGAAGACTCAGAGTTGGATGTTGATGAGGCCCAGGAAGAGCCCATTGACTGAAAGGGTTTAGCAAAAATGCAGAGGATTGCTGGAAGGAAGATTTAACATTTTGAATGGGACTTTGTGGGGATTTTTGGATGGGGGGTGCATTTTTGTTCATTATGATTGAGTATGTAAGTCGCTTTGGATAAAAGCGTCTAACAAGTAACATTACATTACATGTCATTTGTTAGACGCTTTTATCCAAAGCGACTTTTCAGTACTTAAGTACTGTGGACAATCCCCACAGGAGCAATTCGCGGTGAAGTGTCTCAGGGACACAACGACCTGCAGTGGGACTCGAACTTGCTACCCCCGATTTCAAGTCGAGCACACTACCCACTGAGCCACAGCCTCCCTGTGGCTTGTAAACAAGTAATGTAATGTAATACCACTGTATTTACGTGTGTCATGGCTTGGCTCTCAGCCACAACAAACGCGCGACAGAAAACGAGGGTGTGAATAGAAAAAGAGAATGTATTCACTGCTGCTGAAGGACACAAACAGGCGAAACAAACGACGAAACAAGAGGTCAGCTGGTCGTGGCTGCTCTTCGCGTTGTGTCCTCCTGCCAGAGAGAGATTGCAGGTCTCACTCAGGCCCTTTAACCCTCTGGTACCGGCCGCCAGGTGTCTTCAATCCCAGCTGATAGACCAAAGGGAAAACCTTAAAGGAACATACACACACCAGAGATAACAAGGCAGGGGTCGTCACACGTTGTTTTAAATATTTACATATTTCCATACCCTTCTTCTTAATTATTGCTTTTCCTTCTCCTTTTCCAAGTGAAACTGGTATTGCTATTTCCTTCTGTAATGCATATTTTGCTAACTTATCAGCATGCTCATTCCCGTTTCAAGTTAAAATTGAATAATAACTACGCTCTGTTTTTTTTATCGGAACAAGGTTTCATGATATCCTCCACAACAGCTTTATAAACACCACAACACAGATTTTGACCATTTAAGCCAAGTCTGAAGGTCTCTAAAAAAACAAGTGTATCATTTGGTGTTCGGGTCTGGGGAGACCCAGCAGAATTGTTTTGGGTGACTCAGGGTCAAATTTGGCCCAATCAAGATTCATCTTTGACTTTAGACACGACCCCAGCCCCTTCATCCACTGTAACAATAATTGTTCGCAACATGCACCTGGTCTCCCCTCCCTCTGCCCCCCTCCCCCCACGGGAACTCCACCTTTCTCAAAGAATATGGACACTAACACTTGAACCTGAACACACACATGCACGTGTGCAATATGTGGTGTAATGTGTTTTGGGCCATACAATACAATTACAACAGGATTGTACGGTTATGAATGCATTATAAGTTAGTTATGATGTAGTTAAAACACTATTGGATGATAGTCATATTTTTTGAGTGTTTTGGACTGAGATAAATCATGGGTCAAAACTGACCCGCGACCACCATGAACGGTAACAGCTTTTGAACACAACACAAGGGTTAAACAAGGCCCGGCCCCCCCACTGACACTTTACCTCAGCCACATCATAGACTCTATATGCATTACATTCATGCACACAATGCTCAAATACTGCTTACTGCAAATATTCTTATTTCATATTCTATATTCTATAATTCACTGCACTCTATTTCACTGTAAATTACCGCTTTATTTTATTGCTATTTAACAATATTTTATTATGGTGTCCTTAAAGATGTTCTGTTTTATATTAGATTTCTTGTTTTATATGTAATGTCTGCACCATGACATCAAGTCAAATTCCTCGTATGTGTGAACCCACCTGGTGATAAACCTGTTTCTGATTCTGAAGTCTCAGTAAGCAGTGGTTAAGTTCAATGATTAAATCTTCTCTAACAGTTATTGTCAACTGTATGCTTTCCAAAGCAGATAGTGAGTCCAGTAGAGCTGATGTTACTCTAGCTATCCTGAAGGTGGCAGCAGAGGAACACAGGATATATATTTATATAAATAGAAATAAAGCAATGAAGTCATTAAATAAATAAAGTAACAAATAATATGTCATTTCACATGGAAGTTGGTCACCAAGAAGAAAGGACACAGGGAAAATGCCATTTGCCAACTATCTGATATTTAAATATAATAATATTTGTAATCCTCTTTTCAAAACAAGTGCATGTATTGTTTACATGTTGGATTGTTTATTTCTAGTCTTTTCATTTCTCTAATGTTCAATGTCTTGTCTTTTTATGCTGCTGCCACACAAACATTTCCCTAATTGGGATCAATAAAGTACTTTTTATCTCATCTTATGTTATCTTAATAACACGCAGGCCTGTTCCTCCTTGACTGCTATTCGGTGCTTTTATTAACATGCATTGTAGTTTTAGAGGTGAAGAAAGAGACAGAAGCTTCTAACTACGTTGGTCCACAACGTAGGACGTAGTATTTCTACAAAAACGCCTCTGAAATTGTAAGATCCCTACGCCACAAATTGGCCCCTGCTGGGGTTGGATTTTCAGCATGTGTGCCTTTTTATGTTATACAGTTCAGCTTTGATTCCATCATCTCATTTAACCTTTTTAAAAAGCATACTTTAGTTCTGTGAAGGGATATAAGGGATATATGCACTGTACTTCACTTTAATTGATTTTGTCTGCTGAAAAGCAAATAAACAAATGTCGGATCGCGATTTATTGACAAAGGAAAAAAGTGCGTCCCGAGGCCTGACCAGTTGAGAACCACTGGTTCAGAGTGTTTAACCGGAATAACAGATCTTTCCAATCACCACTGATTTCAGGGTCAGGAGAAGCTAAAGTCATGTTCTAGGCTGGCTCTGGTTCTTTGTCAGTGTCGCCATAAGTGTTGGTTACTTTGGTGTCATTAGAGCCAAATGGACTTGTTTCTGTGCTTAATATTTGTTTTAATGCACATTCAGACTTGACTTAGAGCAATGATATTTTATCACACTCAGAGCAGGTATCGCGTTATACACACTTACTGGGACTAACTCAAAGAGTTTAAACCTAACAATAATCACTGTCTTCAGTCTCAGGTTCTGAAGAGTCTCCAGAGTTGTCCTCAGTCTCTGGTTGTAAATGTCTCTCTGGATCTGAGTTCCTGGCTGGTTCTGGACCTCCACAGTCCTCTCTATCAGCTTCTGTTTCCAGGTGTTCAGCTGAGATGCTGGCTGGAGGCTCTGCCTCTCTGTTCTCCTCAGTTTGAGTTTGATAAAGCTGTGAGGACTGACGACCAACACACTTATGAAGTTTTACCCGATATCTCCGGGTGAATCTTTGGTCACAAACACTGCAGCTGAATGGTTTTTCTCCTGTGTGGATTCTCATGTGGTATTTTAAATGTCCTCTCTGTCCAAAAGATTTCTTACAAATTGAGCAGCTGAATGGTTTCTCTATTGTGTGGATTCTCATGTGTGTCTTTAAATTTCCTCTCTGTGCAAAAGATTTCTTACAAATTGAGCAGATGAATGGTTTCTCTCCTGTGTGGATTCTCATGTGTTTCTTTAAATCTCCTTTCTGTCCAAAAGATTTCTTACAAATTGAGCAGATGAATGGGTTCTCTCCTGTGTGGATTCTCATGTGGTACTTTAAATGTCCTCTCTGTCCAAAAGATTTCTTACAAATTGAGCAGCTGAATGGTTTCTCTCCTGTGTGGATTCTCATGTGTTTCTTTACATTTCCTCTCAGTGCAAAAGTTCTCTCACAGACTGAGCAGCTGAATGGTTTCTCTCCTGCACTATGTCTTGAATCACAGACAGGGTCTTGTTTATTTTTCTGAGAGTTTGAACCTGGTTCTCTCGTCTTCTTCCAATCAGCCCTGTCTTCAGTGTCAGGTTCAGAAGAGTTTTCAGTGTCAGGTTCAAAAGAGTCTCCAGTGTTGTCCTCAGTCTCTGGTTGTAAATGTCTCTCTGGATCTGAGTTCCTGGCTGGTTCTGGTCCTCCACAGTCCTCTCCATCAGCTTCTGTTTCCAGGTGTTCAGTTTGTCTTTGATGAAGCTGAGAGAACTGAGGTTTCTCTTCATCATCTTCACTCTTCACAGGGACAGGATTGAATATGGACTTGGTGATATCAGCCTCCTCCAGCGCTTGAAGCTGCTCTCCCTCCTGACTGATCCAGAGTTCCTCCTGTTCCTCTTTAATGTGTGGGGGGGGCTCTGAGTCCTCCCGATCCAGACTGGAGCTCCACTCCTGCTGAGCAGGGGGAACCTCTTCTTTAACCACCACCAGCTGCTGGACGTCTGCAGGAAACACACATTCAGAGAAACTGTAGAGTATTAGGGTTTAAAATCTTACCACAATTAACACTTATTTAACCTGTTAAGCCCTGAGCCTGTTTTTCAGGTCTCAGGCTCGAAAATGACATTCCCAGAACAAATGACCATATCTTCCCTTCTAAAAGGGTTAAATTAATAATCTTGTTTTCAAAGTAATGATAAACCTGTGAGTTGGATGTAGAAAAGTCAGAATCAATATAGATGTTTTTTATTTTAAAGAAAATTCAGATTGAACATGGTAAAAAAACTGTAAAGTATAGTGTCCGTCCAAAAAATATTTTGTACTTATAGTGAAAACTAACCTTGGGTGATGGGTTAGTAGACAAAAAGCTTTAGGAATCCAAAGTACAACATATAATAAGTACCCTGTATCAAGATTGTTGCAAAACAAGTGACATTTTACCTTTTAGAGAGATTTAGCACAAAAAACCTCTTCTGGGGCCATTTGGGTGGATTTTCCTTATCTCTGGCCCCCCTTCTTCGATTTTGACATGTGACATCTCTTTCTGACCGTTAGAGCCAATAGAATCGAAGGGGAATCTCCCCACACACACACGGTAAAACGAAAAGATGGGGGCTTCGCATGTGCAGTTTTGCTCCAGAGTGAAGCTGTCTCTAGGTTAGGGTGATTAGAGTGATAATGAGGGTACCCATCGATTCTGTGTCCCCTCACGATGTGAAACGATGGGTTGAGATGTGCAGCAAATATTAATAAGGTTTTGTGAGTGAATTTCGATGCAGTCATCTGTTAGCATTTTTCGCTCGTTGCTAATTCAGAGGCTCAGCGTTAGCATTGTGGGTTTTCAAAACAAAAAATAAAAATGATCAGTTAGATGAGTTTCTTCCCGTTACATGGATATAAAACATTCATAGTTTATTAAATGAACATGCCCTCAGACACTGTTTTCTGCAAGATGTTGCAGGAGGCCCCCGGAACCGGGGTCTCTTGGGCTTAACAGGTTAACTTTGCAGCCCTTATCCATTCCTTATTTTAAATGCTTTTCCAGATGCCCTGGAGAGTTTCAGGACAACAGGTGAGTTAGTACTCTAGACAATCTAAAACGTAGTTTCACTGCCGCTTAGCAAGGCGTCTGCCGTTCACGGAGTGTGAGGCCGTAGCCTTATAGTTTGTGACCTGTCTGCAGAGTCGTTAGCTGAGAACTGGTGTTGGAGTTTCTCAGAGTAGTCGTTTAGCATCTCTCTCCGCCTCGCTAAACCTGTACTTGGACTCATACAGGTGCATCTCAATAAATTGAATATCCTCGAAAAGCGAGTTTATATCAGTAATTCAATTTATAAAGTTTAAATGTATACATCACAGATTCATCACACACAAAGTGAATTATTTCCAGCTTTTATTTGTTTTAATCTTGATGATTAAATGAAAGCCAAAATACAGCATCTCAGAACATTTTAATAATACATAAACCAATATAAAAGAGATTTTCTATGGTAGAAATGCTGTCCTGAAAAGTATGTTAATGTTCCTGCTGTCAGTACTTGGTTGGACCTCCTTTAGCATGAATAACAGCTTCAATGCGGTGTGGCATGGAGACTATCAGTCTGTGGCACTGCTGAGGTGTGATGGAAGCACAGGTTGCTTCACTCACGGCTTTCAGCTCGTCTGCATTGTTGGTTCTTGTGTGCCTCATCTTCCTCTCGACAATACCCCATAGAATCTCTACAATAATAATTCACAAAATTCTGACTTTCTCAACATTTTAACTTTTTCTAAAATGTTGAATCTCAACATTCTGACTTTTTTTATGGAAAACTCAGAATAGTCACGTTTTTCTCCAAATCCTGACCTTTGAATAAAAAAAATCTCTAAATTGTTCAGATAAACCTCAGAATTTTTACTTAACATAAAACAATTCTGACAAATGTTCTCATAATCCCGATTTTTTTTCAGAAAAAACTCAAATGCTGAATTTTTCAAAATGATGGTCTTTTCAGAAAACCTCAAAATGTGGAGAGGAGACATGTCATGCTTTTCCGGTTATTACCCATCCCCTTCTGTGTTATGAAGGTTTGTATGCATGTAAACAGTGCAGAGTGACAAACCCTCAAAGTACACCCTGTAGCGAGTAAAACTCTAACACAGAAAATACCTCCCCAAAACGCCTCGTTGGAGATACGTCATTGTCCATTTGATTCTTCCGGGTACGGCATGATGTCAACCCATACCTGGAACGAAATGGACCAATCCGTTGAGCCGTTACGTTTGTGCACCGTTTTGAAATGCCGCTCCTAAATTACCCTTCTTCGGTAAAGCCACGCTCGCATTGCAGATGAGACAGATGGACTTTGAATTGGAATAGATAAAAAAATAATCATCCTCCCACTCGGAGTGAAATTAATTAATTGTATGAATACTATGTGTATCTTTCTTAGAGTACATCACAGCAGGAACACAATACCAACTGCTCCAGTACAGTCCGATGTCAAACAGACCGTCCACAGACTGTTTGTGTGGGAACTCAGAGGGTTGAGACACAGTCTGTGGGAACACAGACAGTGGAATGTAAAGTGTCCGCCATTTCTGTTGCTACACAGTTGGCCCGGGGAACACTGAAATCGGCACACGTGAGAAGCAAAGGTAGACTATAACACTGACAAATCACAGATACATTACCTTAATTGTGCTTTTATTACATGTACAGCACTTGGGCTCGACCAAAAATCTTTTTTAAATGTGCTCTATAAATAAAACCTTATTTGATATTATTGTATATCACAGAAATACTGTTATGTTGACTACAAGAAATACAGTGCTGTTTGTAGTTTATAAATTTTTCATGAATTAATCTGTCAGATGTACACAAGTTGGCCTTTTACAATGTATTAGTGTCTTATCTAATGTACATAGTATTTATGCACTTTTCCCTTTTTATTAACAGGCATCCAGGCCACGGTGTCTTTCAAAAGTGTTGGCACTAAAACTTCCACCTACACAGAAATCCCCTTGTCCTCTACACCAATAAAGGGCCCAGGATTGGGACCTAGCAAGAGACCTCGACTAGAGTTGGAGCAGGAACAAGGAGAGACTTCGATTGAATTTGAAGAGACTCTGGATTCGAGTTACCACCCTGATGATACTGTAGAAGAATCTGACGTATCGTAAGTTTGGTATATTTGGTACACATTACTATTACTGTTGTTCAGAGTTGACATCTAACATGTATTGTTAATTTTGTTTCGTTACATTAGACTTCAGACACGATCCACGCACAGTGACACAAAGTACATTGTGTTTGAAAGCTGCCTCGGACAGCTGTTTGAAAAATGTCCGTTTTGTAAGACAGACTGTGATGTCCAAAAACGAAAAAAATGGGACTTTTGTGGCGTTCAAACAGCGTTGTCCAAACTGCACTTACTTCAGACAATGGGAGAGCCAGCCCATCATTGGAAGTACCCCGGTTGGCAACTTACAATTATCTGCTGCTACATACTTCACTGGTGCTTCCTTCTTCCAACTAAAAAAGGTATTTTACCATCTTACATCCATAGCATATGAAAAATGACAGAAGCGGACTTTTTCAAATACTTGTCCTTTTTTTCTATTTATTCATAGATATGCAGAGCCATGCAGCTGGAGATCTTCCAGTATGAGACCTTCAGGAGGCATGCTAGGCATTATCTGGAGCCTGCTATTATCCACAAGTGGAAAACTGATCAGCTGAAGATTTTCCAGCAACTACACCACCAGGGGGGAAAGGTCACAGTTGCAGGAGATATGAGAGCAGACTCTCCAGGTAAGCAGAAACAGACAAGACAGTCTAGTGCAGGGGTGCCCAACCTTTTTTGAACCGAGAGCTACTTTTAAAGTTGCCAGTCTGCCGAGATCTACCAGTCCAAATAGAGAGGCGTAGCCATTACTGAGCCTACTACCAGTTAAATACACACTTCTACTTGTATAAAACTGACCTTTGTACGATGAATACTTCCTAAAATACTGCAGATGCTTTATCTTACCTCTTTCTAATCTACACACATACAAGTATTTAACTGAAGTTACACAACAGTGTTGTTGATACAGAGTTGGAGTTTATTCACACGTCACTACAGTGGGTAATGTTTTCAAGAAACATTGAACAGTGCTGCCACATATGACACAGGAAAAAAGAAAATACTCTGAACCCTTTCTTTGCCATTATATAAAAATAGTGTTGCTACAAAAGTATAAATTAGGCTTACTAATAAGACAACTCAGATCTGAAGCTACTCAGGAATCTGCTGCCAAAGTGCAGTAAAACAGACAAAATTAATAGAATCAAACCCTTTTTTGTAGCATTTTAGTAGAGTATAAAAAGAAATAGGATGCAAGCAACACTAGTTTCTTAACCTGAATTGATAATAGACTATAATCAATTTAAGTTTGCATTCTTATACCATTTTGTACAATAATTATAATGAATAAATTCAAACAAACTAAAACTTACAGCTGATTAATAACGGTATCTAACTTGAGTTTTTATTATATCAAAAACCTGTTGAAATGCTGCTGTTATTTTTACTGTCCCCCAAAAGCGCATCGGCAGCCTCCAGGAATGCTTCTTACACAACTTCGCCGTCTTTGAAAGACTTGATAAGAACGTGACTGACACGATAAGATGCTCTGGTAGCAGCCTTGCTCTTGTTGTTGGGCCTGGTGAAAATGGACTGCTGTGCATTTAGCTGTCCTTTCAGGCCCCTCCCCTTTTGGAGCGTAGGGCAGAATTGAGGGAATTCCGTCTCGTAGCGTTTATGCACTGTTTTGAAATGCCGCTCCTAAATGACCCTTCTTCGATAAAGCCACGCTCGCATTGCAGATGAGACAGATGGACTTTGAATTGGAACAGATACAAAAATAATCATCCTCCCACTCGGAGTGAAATTATATATTTTTGCTTCTGCCATAATTGCGGTCTTGTGTGTGTGTCACTCCTGTTGACGGTTGACACGGACAACGTCAGCGAAATAGTGCCCACTGCCCACCAGCCACGCCCCGACACATGGGGTCACGCCGGCCAATCACAAAGCTTTGATGCGTTCAAGTGCATTATTCTGGCACAGGAAGATTATGTTATAGGACATTAACGATAAAACAGAATATGGTTGTTCTATTTTTAGACACATCTCGCGATCGACTGGGAATCTCCCCGCGATCGACCGGTCGATCGCGATCGACTGGTTGGGCACCCCTGGTCTAGTGCCAGAGTTACTGGTGTATATTACAATTCATCGAACTTATCCATTGAAATTCTGTTGAAAAGTCTTGAAACCTCCTGTATTATATTTTCTTCAGGCCACTCAGCTAAGTTTGGGAGCTACACACTAATGCACCTGGGAAGCAACACCATTGTGGGATTCTCTTTCTGGGTGTAATTTTAGGCGTGCTGGCTGTTGATGCATGCTTCAGTGTATTTATGCCCTATTTCTTATTCACCAACAGAGCAATGAAGTAGGTGGTAGTTACCACATGGAAAAGGAGGGACTCAAAAGATGCCTAGATCATCTGGAGTCAAACGATTTGGCGGTTGAGTACATTGTGACTGACCGTCATCCACAGATCCAGAAGTTTCTGAGGGAACGCAACATAGAACAATTATATGATGTCTGGCACTTTGAAAAAGGTATGTATCCCTATATGTTGTAATGAAAGAATACCAAATCAGAGACACTGTCCTTTTTAGCAGCAGACATGACATGTCTGGATAGATACATGAATGATATCCCCCTATATGTCCCTCTAATCTGGTCTTTCCTCTGTTATTGTAAACTGTCTGGCAGACCACTTGATCACAGCACCTTTTGTCATTGTAAATTACATTTCACTCACTAATCTTAGGATAATGGGAGTACTCTTTAGGATGGGAATTTACAGTGATGCATATATGAATATGTATGGGTGTTTCCTGGCTATAAAATGTTTTCAGACATAAGGGTGACGCCCTGACCATTGTCATGCAATTATCATATGGATGTTATGGTTGTAATTAACATGCTGTGCTTACCCTTCTGTCTGCCCACCACCCTCTTTCCACCACACCCTTGAATATTGTCCATCACAGCACATCATTTACACACTATTGCTTGAATATTCACATGCGTTTTCTTTTTATCAGGTTTGTCCAAGAAACTTGTGAAACTTTCACAGAACAAGGACTGCAAGTTGTTGAAGAGGTGACTGCAGAGCATAACAAACCATGTGTACTGGAGTGCGACGAGCACAACCTCGGGGCCGGAGAAGGTGGCAAGGTGGACGTCAGTGGTCAACCACCTACAAAACATCCACGTGCATGACGACCCCCTATTCCCCAAGTGTGAACATCCTGAAAGAGCCACAACGGATGAAAATAAATGGCTAAAATCTGGTAAGTTCAATATTTATAAAAAAATTGCAAATAACAAGTGAAACATTTAAAAACACTTCACTTCCTTCATAAGATAAGTAAGATAAGTTGTAATGTTCTAATGGGCTGGTGATGTTTTTGTAATTTTACTCAAGATTCAATAACACTCCACAAAGTTGAGAAAATACTCAACAACAAGAGAGTTCTCAAAGAGGTGCAAAAGCTAAGCCATCACTACCAGACCTCATCCCTGGAGTCGTTCCACAGCTTGATTCTGCGTTTTGCCCCCAAAAATGTGGTTTTTCCCTTCATGGGAATGTTGTGCAGGTAATACACTGTATAATTTATTCAGTAGCATCTTATAACACAGTGACTGTTTCGTGGCATGAGGGTTTTATTCTGTCATAACACAAAGTCTTATTTTATTTTGCTATTCTATAGGTTGTGTCTAGCAGCCATGCATCACAATGAGAATGCTGACCGTGAGCAAGCCACAACAGCTGCAGGACTACCTGTGTACAGATTGGCCTATCCAAAATCAAGGAGGGGAGAATGCACCGCAAAGCCTGTAAAGAAGGAGCCTACATACAGTAAGTTGTCAACATTTTTTTTATTACAAACATAAATTACATTTTAAATTATTATAGCACAAAGTACCAAAGAACTGGCCAGATCTATGGAGAACCGGGATGACTGCAACAGACGATGGAGGGCTAGAGAGATAGCCACACTGAATTATCTGTACAATGAAAGAATAAAAGAGAAATGAATAAGTGTATACAAATAATTAATTATTATATGAATGTTATATTTTTCAGTGTACGTGGGTGAGCTGATGAGGCTGGTGTTTGAAGAAGTCTTTGAGGACCCAACACCCTTTGTGGAGGAGATGAATAAAATCAACATCCCAAAGGACCTGTCCACTCAATTTGACAGGCCCTCAAAGGAGGAAGTGGTAGCCCGCCATGTCTCACGTTTTAGTCTAGGGGCGGTCGGAAGCCCACGTACTGTCCAGCCAGATCAGGGAACTCCTGGCGTATCCGGCGGACCACACACGACGGGATGACCACTCTGATTCCTCGTCCCAAAAAGCCCCAGCACCAGCTTACGAAGCTGCGATAGGCCAGATGCCTAAAACGCCTATAAGAGGAGGAATGGATGATAACATATATGTGCTGTCCTGTTTTTCACCCTTACCCTCTGGCTGCTTGAACAACTGAATTTCCCCACAGGGATTAATAAAGGTCCATCTTATCTCATACAGTGTATATATACACATGATCAATTTGTACATTTATCAAAATAAAGTTTGATGGAACTACTTGATAGCCTTTCTTCCCTGAATTATTTGCTCCTAGATCATTCATATATAGCAAACCATTATTTGATTTTTCATCTAATACAGTAGTAGTTTATTATAGATAAAAATAACTTACTCTTCTTCAGTTCTACGCCTCAAAGGTCCATAATCAAACCGATAAATATTGTGGAGGTTCTGCAGGGTGTAGGGATTGAGGCAGTTTGGTTCTAGTCCGGGGTGGTCAACCATGCACACAATGGGTTCTGGGACTTGGTGCTTTCGTGTTAAAACCTATAGGAGGATAAGATATTTGTAACATAATACGTTTAGCAATTAAATCCAACTATGGCGAGGTTTACAAAATAAACATTAAATTACTGTAGAATAAATAAAAGGGCATATTATAGTCTATTGACTTGACAAGTATGTATGGTGTATATAATGTTGTGTGCTACTGTTGGTGTTTTTGTATTTGTTGTGGTGACACCCTGTTTTGACCATAATTCACCTTTGGTATAGTGTTGCCACACGGACCCTTTAGTGTGTGCTCTTAGGTTTAGCTTGTCATTCCTAGCTTGTCAGACAGAGCAGACATGTATTTTACCTGATTCTAAACACACCGCCCCCGACTCCCTTTCATCGGCACTACACTGTCACCTTTCTAATCTCCCTGCAACAGAGGTCTTCCACCTCGGTAGGCATTACTGCGCAGTTTCCACACGTGCACCTAAATAACAACAGTTGGAAAGTTTGGTTAGTCAGCGGACACACTTGTTACTGTGATGTAGATAAATGATGAAGTTCTAACATTACATCTGAAATGTAGCAGCTATACAAAATTAAAACGTTCCACTGTGAAACCGCCTGCTGTATTCTTGTTTGGGACGGTGGATCAGGTCCATCACGGTCCGTTTCACTCTCAGGGTCGGACTCCGGTTCGTACATATATGGCTTTACTGACGCCATTTCATTTCTGCTACTCCGCTCAGAGCCGAAAAAACACCATGGGCTAAGTACCCGCTAAACCACTTTACGGCAGATGTCAACAGGGGCAGAGCCTCTCTGGTGGTTGACAAATCAGAACAGAGGGGCCGAGCTGACCAATCGGAGCACACTGGGCTCACAGGGAGGGGGGGGCAAGAGCTGCAACGAGCCGTTTAGTGGAGAGAGTGAATTCACGTAGTTTACAGAGATGCTGTATGCGAAACAATGTGAGTTTGGAAAATTGCACAGTATAAATCTATTCTAGTAGACATCAACAATGGAATTATGATCAGTGGAAATGGCCATGACATGTGACCTTTAATATTTAAAAACCTATTAATGTGTTATACCAGATTAACGAGAAGAATCTCAGCTAACTGACTATACGAACCATTTTTACTGAAACAAAACACAAGTCTCACAAGAAGCGTTAGCCCTTAGCTAAAATGGGCAGATGCTACTTCCAGTGCTAACTAGCAAAAACGATCTTTAAAACTTAAAGGTCCCATTGCATGGTCCTTTCTACTGATCATAATACCATTGTTGAGGGATATTACAATAGAAAAATACTGTGCAATTTTCCAAACTCAGATTGGTTTCTCATACATTATCTCTGTAAAGTATGTATTTTCACTCCCTGTGCTAAACGGCTCGATGGAGTTCCTGCCCCCACCCTCCTGTGCGTCCAGTGTGCTCCGATTGGTCAGCTCTGCCACTCTGTTCTGATTAGTCAACCACCAGAGAGGCTCTGCCCCTGTTGACATCTGCCGTAAAGTGGTTTAGCGGGTACTTAGCAACATAGCAATACTAGATTTGAGAATCGATAGATAGATAGAGAGTTATATAGATAAATAGATAGCTTACATATAGCATACAATGGCGTATGGAGCATACAATTTCGAACCTCCGTTCGATCCTAGAATAGACCAAATCGCGAGTCTTGCCTCGCCGTTCACTAGAGCAGACCAAACAGTGTCATTGTGGTACGTTTTTATCTAGTATATGTCTTACATTTCAGATGTCATCAGATGTACCTACAACTGTTGTTATTTAGGTGCCGTTGTGGAAACTGCGCTTTGATGCCAAGTGACGGAGAAAACGTGTGCTGCAATAGCATAAGAAAGGTAGCCTAGCTTAGTTACATTATGTCGACAGCTAACTGAAAACACCAACAGTAGCACACATATACCAAGATATACAGCATACATGTTTTTCAAGTCAATAGACTATTATATGCACTTGTATTACTTCCTTAGTAATTGAATGTTTATTTTGTAAACATTTCCCATAGTTGGTTTAATTGCTAAACGTGTTTTGTAACACATCTTACCTTCATAGGTTGTAACACACATGCTGCAAGTTCCAGAACCCATTAACTGCATGGTTGACCACCCAGGACTAGAGCCTAACTGCTTGAACCCATACACCCTGCAGAATCTCCACAATATTTATAAATACAGTTTCGGACCTTTGACAAATACAACGGAAGAAGAGTAAGTTATTGTTACCTGTAATAAACTACTACCGTTTGATGAAAAATCAAATCATGGTTTGCTATATATGAATGATATATTATAGGAGCAAATCATTCAGGAAAGAAAGGCTACTAAGTATTTCCATCAAACTTTATTTTTACAAATGTACAAAATGTGTGAATGTATATTTATATTTGAATGTAATGTACATCATCCATTCCTCTCCCGATAGGCGTTTTCGATATCTTGCGTATCGCAGCTTTGTAAGCTGGTGCTGGGGATATTTAGGGCGAGGCATCAGAGTGGTGATTCCGTCGTGTGTTGTGCTCCGGATCCGCCAGGAGTTTCCAGATCTGGCTGGACAATATGTAGGATTTCGACCTCCTTTGGGGGGAAACGGGAGAAACGGCTGACAATCATTTCCTCCTTGGGGGGCCTATCAAATTGAGTTGACAGGTCCTCTGGGACGTGGATTCGTTTCAGCTCGTCCACAAAGGGTGTAGGGTCCAGAAATACTTTGTGAAACACAAGCCTCGTCAGCTCATCCACATAGACTGAAAAAGAAAGCATTGTATAAATAATTTGTTATTGTTATTCACTTTTTGTATTTAATGTAATACTTTTATTGTTCATTGTATCTTTAATCATTTGAAATGTAAGTTCTGTTAATAAAAACTAAAACAAATATTTCACAACTTACTGTATGTAGGGTCGTTCTTAACAGACTTGACCGTACACTCTCCCCTCTTTGATTTTGGATAAGCCAATTTGAAGACAAGTTTTCCTGCAGCAGTTGTCGCTTGGTCACGCCCAACATTCTCGTTGTGATGCATTGCTGCTAGACACAACCTATAGAATAGCAAAATAAAATGAGACTTTGTGTTATGACAGAATAAAATCCTCATGCCACTAAACAGTGACTGTGTTATAAGATGCTACAGAATAAAGTATACAGTGTATTACCTGCACAACATTCCAATGAAGGGGAAAACCACATTTTTTGGGGTAAAACGCAGAATTAAGTTGTGGAAGGACTCCAGGGATGAGGTCTGGTAGTGATGGCTTAGCTTTAGCACATCTTTGAGAACTCTCTTGTTGGTGAGTATCGTTTCAACTCTGGCGAGTGTTATTGAGCCTTGAGTAAAATGACAAAGACATTAGGTAAATCACCAGCACATTAGAACAATAATTTGCCATAACAACAATGTTATATTTACATTCTATATTGTTGATCTTATGAAGGAAGTGAAATATTGAACTTACCACCTTTTAGGTAAGGTTTATTTGCATCGCTTGCGGCTCCTACAGGATGTGTGCACTTGGGGAAGAGGGGGTCATCATGCACGTGAACGTTTTGTAGGTGGTTGACCAGTGACGTCCACCTTGCCACCTTCTCCGGCCCCGAGGTTGTGCTCGTCGCACTCCAGTAGACATGGTTTTTTATGCTGCGCAGCCACCTCTTCAACTTCGTGTCACAGTCCTTGTTCTGTGTAAGTTTCAGAAGTTTCTTGGACAAACCTGATAAAAAAAAAAGCACATGCACAAGTTAATATTCAAGCCATAGTGTGGAAATGACGTGCTGTGATGGACAACATTCAAGAGTGTGGTGGAAATTCCACACTTCATATATCATCAACCATAACATGCATATGATAATTGCCTGTCAGTGCGACACCCTTCTGTCTGAAAACATTTCATAGCCAGGAAACCTCCATACATATTCATATCACTGTAAATTCCCATTCTAAAGAGTACTCACATTATCCTAGGATTAGTGAGTGAAATGTAATTTACAATGAGAAAAGGTGCTGTGATCAAGTGGTCTGGCAGGCCAAATTGTAGGAGATATAATGAATGTATTCAGACATTATGTCATGTCTGCTGCTGATTAGAAGCTCAGGATAAATTGCATAGTAAAACAAAGGAATATCTTAACAAAGGACAGTGCCTCTGATTTGGTATTCTTCCATAGGGATACATACCTTTTTCAAAGTGCCACACATCATAGAATTGTTCGATGTTGCGTTCCCTCAGGTACTTCTGGATCTGCGGATGACGGTCAGTCACAATGTTCTCAACCGCCAAATCCTTTGACTCCAGATGATCTAGGCATCTTTTGAGTCCCTCCTTTTCCATGTGGTAACTACCACCTACTTCATTGCTCTGTTGGGGAATAACAAATAGGGCATAAATACACAGAAGCATGCATCAACAGCCAGCAAGCCTAAAATCATAGCACCCAGAAAGAGAATCACACCTGAACAAGCTGGAAGTCCAGAATGGTGTTGCTTCCCAGGTTCATGAGTGTGTAGCTACCGAACTTAGCCGAGTGTCCTGAAGAAAATATAATACAGGAGGTTTCAAGGCTTTTCAACCGAACTTCAATGGATAAGTAGATGAATTGTAATATACACCAGTAACTCTGGCACTAGACTGTCTTGTCTGTTTCTGCTTACCTGGAGAGTCTGCTCTCATATCTCCTGCAACTGCGACCTTTCCCCCCTGTTGTTGTAGATTATCGAAATTCTGCTGCTGATCAGTGTTCCACTTGTGGATAATAGCAGGCTCCAGGTAACTCTTAGCATGCCTCCTGAAGGTCCCATACCCGATGATCTCCAGCTGCATGGCTCTGCATATCTATGAATAAATAGAAAAAAAGGAAACGTTTTTGAAAAAGTCCACTGCTGTCATTTTTCATATGCTATAGATGTTAGAGATGGTAAAATACCTTTCGTAGTTGGAAGAAGGAACCCCCAGTGAAGTATGTAGCAGCGGATAATTGTAAGTTGCCAACCGGGGTACTTCCGATGACGGGCTGGCTCTCCCATTTTCTGAAGTAACTGCAGTTTGAACAACGCTGTGTGAACGCCACATAGGTCCCCACTTTTCTTGTTTGGACATCACAGTCTGTCTTACACACCGGACATTTTTCAAACAGCTGTCTGAGGCAGCTTTCAAAAACAATGTACTTTACGTCACGATGCGTGGATCGGGTCTGAAGTCTAATGTAACAAAAACAAATTAACAATAAGTTTTAGATTTCAACTCTGAAAAACAGTAATAGTAATGTGTACCAAATGTACCAAACTTACGATACGTCGCATTCTTCTACAGTATCATCAGGGTGGTAACTCGAACCCAGAGTCTCCTCAAATTCTGTCGACGTCTCTGCTTGTTCCTCCTCCAACTCCAGTCGAGGTCTCTTGCGAGGTCCCAATCCTGGGCCCTTTATTGGTGTAGAGGACAAGGGGATTTCTGTGTAGGTGGAAGTTTTAGTGCCAACACTTTTGAAAGACACCGTGGCCTGGATGCCTGTTAATAAAAAGGGAAAAGTGCATAAATACTATGTACATTAGATAAGACACTAATACATTGTAAAAGGCCAACAACTTGTGTACATCTGACAGATTAATTCATGAAAAATGTACAAACTACAAACAGCACTGTATTTCTTGTAGTCAACATAACAGTATTTCTGTGATATACAATAATATCAAATAAGGTTTTATTTATAGAGCACATTTAAAAACGATTTTTGGTCGAGCACAAGTGCTGTACATGTAATAAAAGCACAATTAAGGTAATGCATCTGTGATTTGTCAGTGTTATAGTCTACCTTTGCTTCTCACGTGTGCCGATTTCAGTGTTCCCCGGGCCAACTGTGTAGCAACAGAAATGGCGGACACTTTACATTCCACTGTCTGTGTTCCCACAGACCGTGTCTCAACCCTCTGAGTTCCCACACAAACAGTCTGTGGACGGTCTGTTTGACATCCGACTGTACTGGAGCAGTTGGTATTGTGTTCCTGCTGTGATGTACTCTAAGAAAGATACACATAGTATTCATACAATTAATTGTGTATCCGAGGAAAACAGTCAATTTCATAAAAGCAACACTTTTACAATTACAATGTTCTACAGATAGTCTGCTACGTTCGGTCATTCATTGTAGCTGGCATGAAAACAATGTTTTTCATAACATCTCTATGTTAGAGCTTCTAGCTTAGCTTATTAATGGTAGCTCGGTAGAATACACGAACGGCAACTGTAATTACTGACCGTACGGTTAAAGTATACTGTCTGAGTATTTCGTGTGTGTTTGCAGACATTCTCCTGCTATGAGATACATGTAAGGCCATGTGCTAACATCGGTGTTGAGGTCTGGGAATGCTAGGTAGCCCTCGTGTTTACCTCGGTAGCATAGCATTAGCATAGCATTTACACAGTCGTGGTAGATACATTGTTTGTTTTAAACAGAATAAATACACAAACCACAATGAATACTTACAGGTTGTGTACCAGAATCTCCCGCTGGTCCAAACAAAGTAGGAACAGCATCGTCCTCCAATATAAGCTTTGCAAGTCCGAAGCTAAACATTGTTACGTTTTTAAAGCTTTGGTCCGTGAAATGCCGCGCACACACAACAGTACCGGCTGGTAAATCAGCTGGAACAGTGTTAAAAAGGAATGTCAACCACTGACTTCGTCGTGGTTCTGCCTTCGGTACTGCAAACATTGTGGATTTCTCCACACAATACAGGCAACAGACCCTCCGCGACATGACTGGATAGAGCTTTGAAAAGAAGCAGGTTTTACGACACTTAATATGGTCGGCTGGCAGAGGAAGTGACGTCACGCGGTGCAGCTACGTCACGCGGGGCAGGAAGTAAACAATGGAAACTGAGAAATCTCCAACGAGGCTTTTGGGGGAGGTATTTTCTGTGTTAGAGTTTACTCGCTACAGGGTGTACTTTGAGGGTTTTGACTTTGCAGACTGTTTACATGCATAAAAACCTTCATAACACACAAGGGGACGGGCAATAACCGGAAAAGCATGACATGGGACCTTTAATATTTTCTGCACAAACTACATATCATCTGAAAGCTGATACTCCACAGATTATTTTTGTTATAAGTATCATCACTGTAGGACACAAACTCACTGAGCTAGCAGCCAGAACAGAGAAGAAAAAAAACAACAGTTTTCAAAACCATAACAATAATTATGTCTTACCGTTGCTGTTTTGTGATCAAAGCTCTTGTTCAAGGGAATAAAAACGCTGCTTAAAGTTAATCCAATGTCTCTTAGTCACTTTAGAATTGTTCCTGATAATCTATCATTACATTCATGGCAGCAGAGTAGGTAGAAAGTTTCGCAGTCCCGAGCTAATGCTGTCTCACGTGCTGTTTACGCAAACCTCTCTCTACTTGACGTAAGTGTTTAGCGGGACTTACTAACTGTCACTCGATTCTATTGGCTCTAACGGTTCAGAAAAGGTGTCAATCACCCAAATCGACCAATGGGTTCCAAAGATATGATCCTGCGTAGTATAAACTACGCCCGCTCCGGCTCCATTACGCATTACGCAGCCAGAAGGGCTTCACCACCGAGCAGGTGCTAGAGATGCTAGCTGACGATAGCGGGGCTATGATCATACCAGATGACTCTTCGTCGGATGATGAAGATCTCCTCCAGCCAGACCTGGATCCGGACAGTAGTGACTCGGATGTTGAACTTCCACCACGGGAAAGGTATGTCATCTCTCTGTTTTTATATATTACTTATGTGTTTGGTGGAACTGCGTCACAGTGCTAGCTTAGCCAAGAAGCTACAGGAATGATTAGGCAAAATGCTAAATAGTGTTACTTGTCTTTTTGGAGTTACATTTTCTAAATGAATGGCCAGTGAATGAATATACATGTGTTTACTTATTTATTTGGTGTAATATTATTCATTTATAGTCCAATATTATCCTATAAGTATAAGCCAGTGAATTAATCTAAACTCTTTGTTTTTCCACATTTGTTAGATGAGGAGTGACCCCAGCAGGACAAAGCCACACACCCAGAAGACTTTCAGGGAGCAGCTTGCTGCAGAATTGTTGGAGTTTGCTGAAGGCCCTGCTGAAGGCCCTGCACCTCCACCACCCCCTCCTCCTCCACCACTCACATGCCCGAGTATTATGGAGAAGATGCCACCAAGGTCAGGAAGAACTGCAGGAGGTGCCTAGATGCTGGACTCAAAAGGGTGAAGACACCTGTGTACTGCAGGAAGTGCCAGGTCCCTCTGTGCTTCACTGTCAAAAAGAACTGTTTCAGGGAGTGGCACGACCTAAATACTGGAACATTCAGGTAGGTATAAAGTTCAGGTAGGTATAACGTTTTGAGTGTTTATTTAAAAAAAAATACTTGTTTTTATATACCTAGTGTGATTTTATTGTATAGTACGTTGGTAAAATGTTTGTTTTTACAAACCTACATTGTGTTGGTAAAATGTTTGAAATAAATCTGCCCCAGTTGGAGTCAAATGTTACCTATGTTTCCGTTTTTTTTATTGTGCAAGTACACTTACACACAATGACCTACAGTGTAGTTTTATTGTATAGCGCGTTGGTACAGTTACATACACACACAGCTACACTTACACACCTACACATACCCACACAGCTACACACACACACACACAAACACACACCTACACTTACTTAAATATTGTTTTTTTTGTTGTTTTTTTTTGGGTGGAATGAATACCTATAGTGATGATTCAATGTAATACAATGATTTGTATAGTCTGGTACCTGAAAAAGGTCAAATGGCACTGATGGAACCAAATGTGCCCAAAGCTTATTCCGCCTGGACTTTATTTTCATAAACCTCTCTAAAAAGGTCAAATATCACTTGTTTTGCCTCAATCTTGATACAGGGTACTTATTATATGTTATACTTTGGATTCCTAAAGCTTTTAGGCTACTAACCCATCATTCAAGGTTGGTCTTCACTATAAGTAATGGGTTTTCTTTAGGCGGAGACAGGAATTTACATTTTTTTGCTATGTTCCATCTGAATTTACTCTGACACAGAAACATCTATATTGATTCTGACACTTCTACATCCAACTCACAGATGTAACCTTGCTTTGATAACAACAATTATTCATATAAACCTTTTAGAAGTGAAGTTATAGTCATTTGTTCTGGGAATGTCATTTTCGAGCCTGAAACCTGAAAAACAGGCTCGGGGTTTAACAGGTTAAGAGTCTAACGAGTTAATACAGAGTCTAAAGAGTGAGAGAGAGTGAATAAAGAGGGAACAGACCTGCTCTGTGGATCTGAAGCTGAGGCTGTAAAACAGCGTCCAGTAGTTTCCGGTGTCTCTCGTTCTCCTGTTTTGAACGAGACAGTTCCTCCTCGTACTTTGCTATCGTTCTTTCAAACAGAACAAAGATGTCTTCAGCAGCCGCAGTGAGTCGCTGCTTCACCAACGAGAGCAGCACAACACTCATGTTTACTAAATCACCACTTCCCGTTTCTCTCACTCTGTGTTGCTAGCGTGTTACCAGCTAGCATGCTAAGCTAGCTTCTAGAGTCCGAGCTAGAGGCTTCAGAAGAAAGAGCACAAAGTCAGAGGTTCATCCAGACACACAGACGATGGATGGATCAGCTGTGCACACACACTTCCTCAGGAACACCGAGAGAGAACCATGGATGTAGCGAGAGAACACACGAGAGAAGCCACGAGACGCGATCTGGTTCCATTAGAAAGAGCGAGACCATCACTTCCGGTGCATCACTTCTTCGTCTTCTCTCGATTTAAAGGCGGATTGCATACAACTTTAAGGTGCATACCGCCACCTATTGTACAGAGTGTGTATCACCATTATCATCCTATCACCACTTGTGGAATTATACCAGCGGAGGCTGTGGCACAGTGGATTATTAGAGCGTTGGTTTTCGGATCAGGGGAACACAGGTTCAAATCCCACTGCAACGACATGCTGTTGCATGTCGTTGTGTCCCTGAGACACTAAACCCCAAATTGCTCCTGTGGGGATTGGTCGTGCTAATGTTGTCTTGTGTTCACCTCTGCATGTGTGTTCTGTGTTCACCTCTGCATGTGTGTTCAGTGCCGTGTGTCTGGCAAATAAAGTCAAGACCCCCTCAAAAGTTACGGTTTATTTCATTTTAAGGATGAGCACCAAGCAACATCTCCAGGTGCTCCTTTGAGAACCAGGGCAAAAAAGTTATGTGCACCCCTGTTTATATTTGAACTAACGAGGTGTGTAGAGATCACAGGTTTCCATTGTTCTGAATGAGAGATGAACCTCTTACATGTGAACGTTTTGTGGAAGAACCGTAACAGATATCTGTGAAATTTCAAAACGTGAAGCATGTCAAGGAAGTTGAGTATCTTAAGTGTAATTTTTGTGTAGTTTTGGGTTAATAATGTGGCCTTTTTGGCAGTTTAACTAAAGGTGTGCGGCTGCTACCATGAGGAAATATCTGCCTGAAATTACAATGGGCTTCAATGGAGGAATGTCGAACGTTTTTGTCACTTAATGCCCTCAAGAGGCATTTTCTTTAATATTTGTTCTTATTTTTTATTTATTTTCCAACCTAGGAGAGGTTTTCCTATGTTTTCCATGAAAAAATATGTCTGAGGAGTGTAGGGTTTGGGAAGTATGGCAAGTTTAAAATATTTTTGGGGGAGAATTTTGAGCTGTCCTGTACTCTGTTTTGAGATCAAAGCACTCTAGAGTTAATGAGCTGCTCCATCCACTGTAATGTAAAAATCTTAAAAATGCCTCTCTACCAAGCTCCAAACTAAATTCAATATCTCAAAAAGTTGAAAAGATATCAAAATTATTTTGTACAAGTTTTATAGCTGAAGGTATTGTGATCATTTGAAAGTTGGAATGAAGTGTCTGGCTGAAATTATGTGGAAGGAGATGCATTTGGCGCAAAGTGTAGAAAAACAGGATTTGAAGGCATCTCCCATTGACTTCAATATTAAAAAAATAGTTTAAAAAGCTGAATATTTCAAAAAGTATAAAATATTTTTGAAAAAGTTGAAGGTTTCCCATCGATTCCTGAACAGGCTGAATAGTTTAATATTTGAATGGTTTCTGTAGCTGAAAATAAGCTGAAGTTATGGAAAGCTAAAGTATTGGCTGATTTGAAGGCTCTTCCCATTGACTTCAATGTAAAAAAAAGAGTTTAAAAAGCTGAATATTTCAAATTATACCAGCGGAGGCTGTGGCGCAGTGGATTATTAGAACGTTGGTTTTCGGATCAGGGGAGCACAGGTTCAAATCCCACTGCAGTCAGCATGTCGTTGTGTCCCTGAGACACTTCACCCCAAATTGCTCCTGTGGGGATTGCCCGCAGTATTGAGTATGTAAGTCACTTTGGATAAAAGCGTTAACAAGTAACATGTAATGTAATGTATAATACCACTGTATTTACGTTGTTTTAAATTCTTCCAATCAATCCTGTTTCACTCAAATACTTAAGAATAGCCTTCCTGGTAGCTCTTACCCCCTCACCGTCTGTCCCCAGTGTCCCCATCAGGCTCCACTCTCTATCCTGCCTCTCTGACCCTGTCTCTTAGTTTTTCCCTCTCTGTTTTGTACATGTTGCAGTGTAATATGATGTGTTCCACATTTTCTTTCACTCCACGGAGGAGATGTCGGAGAGAACGCGCTCCGAGGTGTGGTTAAACTTTACCCGTCTCGATGCTCGTGGACTAAAGTGCAATAAGAGTTTAGCATGTAAGGGCAGTAACACAAGCAATCTGTCTAAACATTTAGCAAAAGTGCACAGGGTCGGCTCCAGAACAAATCGAATGGGGCGGCAATCATTTACCAAGGGGGGGGGCACACACTGCCGTCAACAACCAACACACAAACACCAACGCAACTTCAATTTAAAAAAACATGCTGTAAAGTGTATTTCACACACATTGCAGGGTGTAGTGCTATTGTATAGCGCACCTATGACCTGTGCAGACATGCACGGTTGTGGCACGACCACCAAAACAGAAACATATGGACATAGTCCACCATATAAAAGTGTGCAAATGTATTTAGTATCCTATCCATGTGAACATGTTTTAGGTGGGGGTGGACCTAACCTCCTCTAGGAGGGTCCGGGGGCATGCTCCTCCGGGAAGATTATTCTTAAAATATTGAACTTAAATGCTTCAATCTGGTGCACTTTGAGAGCAAAATGAAGAGATCTATGGATACATCTCTCAACACCCATATGAAACAGAACTGTACACAAATGTACTTTTTCTTTATTGATATTTTACTAATCACTCCCCTTTTCAACTGTATTCTTGTGTTACTGTCCTATAGTATTTCATACCCGTTTTTCATTTATTCTCTTATTCTTTAATAACTATAATGATCATATAAAGGTATTCCTCAGAAATACTTGTTTACATAAATGGTGACCAAACCGTTTGAGACCCACTGAGATAACCTACACTAAAGTGAACTATCTAAACACTGAGAGAGTCCTTACCTCTGGCTGAGGTTATACGATCCTCTCAGTCCGAGAGGAGAGGACTCTCCTCCACCTTGGTGTAGAAACAGCTCTTTATATCCGTTAGCATAGCTAGCTAACCAGATGCTAACAACAACATTCCACGTTACCACTCGCGCACTCACAAAATGCGCTCGTGCCACACACACACACACACACACACACACACACACACACACACACACACACACACACACACACACAGAGCCGAGCTTGAATGAAACATAGAGACCCAGAAGTAGGCTACTTGTACTGTACTGTATCATATTATTTTCGATGGCTTTACTGTATAATCAGTGTAACAGATGAACAGATCGCCACTGGGCTTTCATCTAACAACCCAGTCTCATGGCATTTCGCGTTCACCAACACGATTTTCTCCTTTTTTTCGTGTTGCACAGCAAGATGCAAAAAGCAATGTATTTCTACTGGTAATGTGTTTCGTGCACGTCTTTTTCTCCGGTCGGGTCCTAAACTCCTAGAGGCCTACGTCTGTTTCCGGTTATTTTTATTTTGAAATTCAGTTCCTGACAGACGCCAAAAAAGCCCGAGATTATGGAATTAAACCAATAAATAAAAGCAAGGATAATTGTGTGTTATTGTTGAGTAAATAACAGTGTGTTATTTTGAAAAGAATAACAAATTAGAAGGAAAAAAATATTTAAAAAATACAGATTACAGTATTCTGAGGCTCTGAGCCATTTATTTTCCTCACAGACGGCAACAAAAGTCCGAAATTTTACGATTTAAAATAAAAGCAATAATTGTGGCTTGATATTGAGTAAGAAGATATTTTTATGAACCACAAAGCTTCCGGTCTTCCATGACCCGACCGGAGAAAAAGACGTACTGCAGGCACGAAACACATTACCAGTAGAAATACATTGCTTTTAAAATCGTGCTGTGCGACACGAAAAAAAGGGGAAAATCGTGTTGGTGAACACGAAATGCCATGAGACTGGGTTGCATCTAAACACACAGCCACGTAATGATAACAAAACAAAGGTCGGGGGTCATTGTTTAAGCAACACACCAATCAGAGAGCAGCAGTGAGCACAGCTCAGGCTGTGTTTCATATTTGTATTCTTTATTTCTGATGTATTTCACACAAAAAACCTTTAGTGGAAACGTTTTCACTGATATGATTTTTAAAAAAAAATGGCTTGGGCGGCACAGTGACTCATTTGGGGGGGCATGGCCCGCGAATGACCCACCATGACGCCGACCCTGAAAGTGCACCACATTCAGACGAAGAAATGCACCGTTTTCGACTGTCTTCCTAGTAGCTCTGTAGCCCCATCCACGAGTAACTTTTCCACGTCAGGTATTATGTATGCTAGCAGAAACACACAGAGTTAACTCAATTAGGAGGACTGTCTGAGGACCACAGATGGAAATGAGCTATTAGCTATAATCTGACATATTGCATCTCTTCTCTTTGCTGAGATTAATGTTTTTGTATGCATGGTTTTAAAAAATAAAAAAAAATTATACAAACATGGGTTAATGATTAGAGGTACCAGAGTTATTTATTTTGTTAAAGTTTCAGCTATTCTGTGTAAGAGTTGGTGAGGAGCTGATAATTTATTCCGGCAAATTACTCAGACCTACTAATTGACCTAACCGAAGTTATTGAGTCTATGTAAGTTTACTGCTTGGCTCAGATCCACCAACGTCAGCAAGATCTCACCTCTATTAACTCCCTGAAGAACCAGGTTTAATTAACTGCTGTTTTAATTCAGACGACCCTCTTAATCGGTTTAAGCGATCCCGAAGGATTTTGATATCAGTAAATGAGGTGTGAGTGTGGCAGGGTGCAATCTTACCTTTGAAGCAGGAGAAGAGAGCGCAGATGTTTTTTAAGTTGTTCCAATCCAAAAGGTGGGATCAGTTTATTTGAAGAAAAATAGGTCCAAACTAATACAGGGTTTTTACCTTCTCTCGTTACAACATTATAATCATACTAAACATATCATGCTGGGGTTATTTTCTAATCTAAAACCTTAATTCATAGTTCACCCATTAAAGTCTTCCGACAAAATCCAAAAAGAATTTCCTCGTGGTGGCGAAGGTTCTCTAATTAGTTCTAAAATCCAGACACATTTAAGAATAGTAGGTTATATCTCTCACAGGCTCCGCAAATGAGAAAAGATTTTCTGTTTGATATTAGATTTCTTGTTTTATATGTAATGTCTGCACCATGACATCAAGTCAAATTCCTCGTAAGTGTGAACCCACCTGGTGATAAA